TATTAAAGATTATCCTAAATATATTTTAGATTTTTTATATATTCAATATTTGATTATGTTTATCTGCATTTAGTTACACGAATTCAAAAATGAAGTTTTAATAAGTTGTACATACGCACAATTTACTTGTAATCTTGAATTTAAGTAATATACATCATTAAACACTATTTAATGTATAAAAAAATTAAATATTTTATAACATAACTACAAGGATACTCGCGCAATGTAGTAAAATATATCTTGATTTTAATGTTTTCTTTTATATTTTGGGTCTATCAATATTATGATGCTATATGGTTCTGAGTAAAAGAAAATGTTTTTATTTTTTAATAAAATATAAATATGAAGATATCATAAAATTTTGAAAAAATAAGTGATATTAATATTAAATTAACTATTTAAAAGTTCTTGTTTTTATGTAATTTCTTTGATTCAAATTTTTATTATAATTTAAAAACTAATTAATTTATATTTGGTTTAATAATATAATTTTTTATAAAGATAATAATTAATTATTTTGTTAGAACTCAATAATTATCCTAATTATATTTTAAAATGAGATGTTTATTCTCTATTTGATTATGTTTATCGCCAGTTGGTTACACGAATTTATACATGGAGATTCAATAAGTTGTACTTACGCACAATTACTTGTAATCTTGAATTCTAAGTAATATGCATCAATAAACAGTACTTCATGCATAAAAAACAGGTTTTAAAAGTTTTTATCAAATATTTTATAATATAATAAAAATATAAATACATCTTCAATTTTTTAAGGCATTTTTCATTATCTAACAAACTTGAAGAAGCAATGGGACCACCCACCATCTCCACCCAAATTGAGTTATCATCTTTTCCAAGTGCCAAATTCTAAAAATGTAGTCATTAAAGCAACAAAGGATCATCACATTTTTAACCTCCCAAAAATGGACCACTTTTTGGTCCAAAAACCCTAATTGTGGACACCAACATTTTATTCAACAACTTTTGGATGTGGGATCACATTTGTGAATAATTAAACTCATTCTTACCTTTTTTTTTCTTTATGAAAAACAAACTCATTCCCACTTATCCTCTATGATTATGACATATGTGGTGACAATTGTTGACAAGATATTGGTATGTCGTTTCAGTGCAAAATTCAATTATATTTAAACAGATTTCCCTGAAATCTCGGTTCGAATGTGGGTCAAGTTTATTTATACAGTTTTTTAGTTTGAAAACATTATTTGTTGTGATGTCAGATTTTGTATTTTAAATTGTATGTAATGTATATATTCAAAGAGTTTTTGTCTTCGTATCCACTTTCGATAAAATCCAACACTGCAACAAAATAGGCCTTTAGAACTCGTAGCTGTTCTTGGATGGCTGAATAAACGAAATATGTGAATTGTTAAAAAAAATTCATTTGAAAATGCACATGTGAATCGATATGAAGAATCTGTAATATCAGTTCACGTATGCATATTCATAAATAGATTTTTTTTCCTAGTAATTTAAATATGAACATTCGTTATTACCTGCACACGATATTAGCTTTCTTATTTGAATCAACCCCTATAAAAACAACATATGTGTATCATATATAATGACGTTATAGTAAACTGTTAGAATGAAGTTTTACGACCTAAAAGGACGTAAGAAATAAATTGTTATATTAGCGAAAACTTGTTTGACTAGTAATAGATGCCTGTATAAATGCAGTAAAGTATCGTACTAATAGACTTTAACGCTTCCAAGAACCTTCACTTTTCTCCGTTTTCTTATTGTCGGTGTTGATCTCTTTCGGTGTTCGAACGTCTTTTCCATTCCCTCTTGTTCGTTAATTCGCTTTTTCGTCTTAATAATTTTTTCTAGATATCAAGAAAATTGTATTTTGATTTGTTTTCTTTTATTTCTTATCTTGTTTGATTATTATTAATTATCATTCTTTTATATGTTTTATAAAATTAAAATATTTTTTAAATAATGAAAATACGTGACTAAAAAAAATACATAAAACAGTTTTGAAATTTAATATATTCATTCATTTATTTATGTCTACATATTAAAGAAAAAAAAAAAAGTCTATAAAAAGACAAAAATAACCCTCTAAATTTGATCGTCATCGTCATCAAGTGTAGCTCATGTTGGACCGCTTCCATGGCAACATTTTCCGGCCGCCGCATCCGGCGGCGATCCGGGTCTTCACGTTCTCAAACTCGGAAATCCGGCAAGGAATCGTGATGCCACCGGCGTGATCATGCCCGTATTCCGCCTCCGCCTTCCTTAACAACTGCCCAAATAAAGGATGGTTTATGTATATCACGGGCACCAACACCCTCTCAAATCCGCCGTCGTTCTGTCCTATGTACACAGCCATCTTCCCCTTCGGAACCGCCGCATGCGGCGGAGAGATAGGATCCGCTTCCACAATCGGGTCTCTCCCGACACGCAAATAACCCCAACGAAAGCCTGGATTTTTGGAACATATTGCCGTAGCTTTCGCCTTAATTCCAGCACCCCACTTCAGCAGCTTGGATATGGATCTTGACGATGGGTTTAGGCGGCGGTAACCCGCCGGTGACGTCTGGCTTTTCCGGCGGATACATCGGAACAGCGAAAAGACTCTATGTTTGATCAGAAATCCTCGGATTTTCTTCATTTTTCGGAGAAATTGAAAACCCAAGTAGAAAAAAAACTAAAAGAAGTTGGAATTGCAAGAGGGGTTTCAAGAAAAGGGCCATGGATCTGCAACAGACATGGCTAAACGAAAGAGGGTGAGACAAATTTCAGAGAGAGAGATGGGAATATTTGACATATTGATGCTCAAATGATTTAAAGAATCTGATTTGAAAATCTATCTGTTTCCATATCTTCAGAGGCTGCTTGAATCGTGGTCAGGTTGAAACAGAACACCGAGTTTGATGATGATGATGATAATGATAATGGTGGTGTATATATGTATATATATGTATATGTAATAGGAGAGAGATCTAGGGAGAGAGAGAGAGAGATAATGCAATCAATTGAGGAGAAAATCTGAAGTCAAATATATAGAGAAACCGAAAAGATCAACTTTATTACAAAGAATATTTTTTAAATGAAAATAATATATATATATATATATATATATATATATATATATATATATAGGGGAACGATCAAATGCAAACCATTCAATTTGTACAAACCGTGCAAAC